AATAACAACAAAGTACTTCAAGTAGTTCAGCCCCAAAAGTATCACCGATTTTGTTACTGTATTTTTTGCGACTAATGGTGAAATTTACTTTTCATCACCAGTTGCGAAAAGTGTTACTTTTGATGAATAGTAAGGCATTTGATAACGTCAACGAGTTTTGAAAAGTGTCACTTCAAATGTCAAAATTAGAAAAAAAGTATTGACTATGGCTATTTCAATACCGAAACGTGGGGAAACATGCCTGAGCTCAAGGGCGTACCCAGCGAGGGGCAGGGGGGGCAGCTGCCCCCCCTAAAATTTTTTATAAATTATAAAAAGGCTCCGCTAAGTGCAGAAAATAAAAAAAAATCAAAATAAACCACTATGGTTTTACTAAAAAAATTAGAAACCCGAAAAATATACTACTAAATACTACTAAAATATATTCATATACCTACGTAAGTCAAACGCAGCGCACTGCACAGCCTACTAGATTTGCAATTAGCGGAATTAGCAAAGAAATATGAATTTTCTATTACGATCCTGGCCCCTGCGAATTTGTTGTATTGTGTTGTTTTTCTAACGGAATTCGATTATTTTCATTTGTTATTCAATGTTAATTTGTTTGTGCAAGTACTGCAAGTAAACTTAATTTACTTAGTTGTTGATAAACGTCTATGCTATGTTGTTAGCAGTTACGTTACACTAGTAAACATTGTCAGAAATTTATATTAGATTGTACTGTAACGAAAATTACCCTGAGTCCGCCTCTGACTCTTCCCGGCCGCGTGGAGAATTCTCGAGACACAGCGCGAAGCTTCGTACGTGCTGCGGAGAGAATCTTCGAGAAGCAGGCGCTTCGGATATAAAAGGAACAATGTCGGGCGGCGAGGGCAGATTTCGCCAGTGCCGGGTTGAAGAATAGAATACTTTTATAAATAAATACAAGATACAAGGCGTTACATAAACTAGTTAGTGTGTTTAGTTAAATTAATCAGAGTGAATTTTAGTTAAGTGTTAATAAAAGTATAGTTTTAATTAATTGGCAGCTTTTATCACATCGTAGTCGAACAAGTTCACACTAAAAACGTTACAGTACTTATTGGAAAATCTGCTGAATCTACCTATTTCGGGCATCTCGGTATCTCCACACTGATAAATGGATATCAGGAAATTTTTTCAAACAGGTAAGTTACAGTTAGTAAGTTACATTCGACGACATTTGTGTAATATCTGTAAATTCCAATTAAAAAAAACAAAATGTTTTTTTCCATGTTACATGTTAAACAAAATAAATAAATAAATAAATAAATAAAAACGACTTTTATTAATCAAATAAGTTCTGGAATTAACAAACTTGAAATAAAAATATGCTTCAGTGTGGCGAAGTCTAGCTATTAGCTATTCTACTTAACCACTAGAAGCAAAGAAAAAGCATATGACGGCTAGTTAAGCAAATAAACAACAAAAACAATAATTCTCTACAACGTAGGTACATTTCTTATACAGTGAATTCAGTAAAGATAAGAAAAAAAAAACAATGAGCATACATTATTTCAAAATATAAAAAGCGATTTCAGTTCGAGTACAGGTACTTTTTAAGTTCTTTTTTGAATTTTACCAGTGATAGATTCTTAAATGTATTGGGTAAAGAGTTGTACAAAGTAACAGCATTATAAACATAACTTCTTTTAAAAAATGCAGTTCGATGTTTAGGAATCGATAATAGGCTATCATTTCTTAAGTTATTACGACAACGAGCATTGTGACGTATTATAAATTTGGCTTTAAGGGGGGTAGAGTGGGTACTTAGCAAGAGTTGATGGGTAAAATTTATCAAATGGAGTTTCATACGCTTATCCATTTTCAACCAGGAAAGTTCCTTGATTTTTTCTGAGACATGATCATGTTTTCTAAGGTTAAATATAAGTCTACAGCAGTTGTTTTGAATTTTTGTGGATACGAGTTTTGCATGCCACATCTAAACATGGGCCGTAAATGAAATCACAGTAGTTGTAATTTGATAACACTAAGCTTTCACATAAATTGCGTTTTAGCTTTTTATTGAGAAAGTGTTTATTTGAGTAAAGAAGCTTAAGACTTAAAAATGATTTTTGTAATAGTTTCTTAACGTGTTCACGAAATCTTAGCTCAGTATCTAGTATTAAACCAAGGTTCCTGGCCGAATCAACAACATTTAGAGGACTCCCATTGATTTGCAAAGTTATCCGCTGTTTTACAGTAGAAACTTTTTCTTTTGACCCAAAAAAGAGGACACAAGACTTATTGGCGTTCAATTTTAGATTATGTTCTAAAGAAAGTTTATAAATTCTATTAAGATCGTTGTTAATTATTAATTCAGCGTTTTCCGCATTATCAACATCAAAATGACTATAAAGTTGACCATCATCAGCATAGGCCTGAGCCTTACAATGTTCAATATCTTTCAAAATGCTCGTAGTATAAATCAAGAAAAAAAGAGGCCCCAGGACACTACCCTGAGGAACACCAGACAGTATATTCATCTGAGTGGACGTACGGCCATTACAGTTAATGCGCTGAGACCTATTATTCAAGTAAGATTTTGACAAATTCAAAGCAAGTTCGTCAAACCCGTAATATTTAAGCTTGGCTATCATAAGTCTATGGTCAATGGTATCGAACGCCTTGGAGAAATCCAATAAAGTTAATGCTGTAACTTCACCCTTATCAAAAGCCTCAATTATATCACTCATTACTGTTGCTAAAGCGGTCGCAGTGGAAAATCCTTTTCTGAATCCGCACTGAAAATCAGGAAGAATTTTTTTAAGCATAAGGTATTCATAAATTTGCCTGTATAGAACTTTTTCGAGAATTTTTGAGATTGTAGGTAGTATGCTGATAATGCGAAGGTCAGAAAATTCTTCCGGATTATTTGTTTTAGGCAGAGGCCTACCCACAGCGATTCTCCATTTTTGAGGAAAATACCCTTGTTCAATACAAGTATTAATTATATTAGTGATATAAGGCTCAATAAAAGGGCTACAATATTTAATCATGCGAGTTGATATTTCATCAACACCATAGGCATTAGAACGCAAGCTACACAAAATTGAAGCCACCTCCTCTACAGTAGTCATAGTAAAACAAAAGGAGTTTAACTCATCATATTGATTCGATTCAAAAAAATGTATTTGGTTCTGACAATTATCAGAGACCGTCTGTAAAAAGCTAGCAAAATAGTTGTTAATTTCATGAGGGTCAGACAGGTGATCAGGAATTTCATTTGACTTATTTGATCTAATATTGAAGTCACTTAATGCAGACCACAGCCTCTTTGGTTTTTTTTTATCCGCCATAAGTGAATCCAGGTAAGCTTTTTTCTCCCTACGCAAACAACTAAGGGCGAAGTTCCGGAGGTCTTTATATTTAGTATAATCATTATTATTTTTAGTTTGTTTGAACTTATGCAAAGCTTTATCACGTTCTTTCATAATTCATTTTAAGTTAACTGTTAGCCAAGGCGCTTTAGGTTTGCTTACTCTAATTTCCTTAATTGGCGCATGACGATCAAATAAAGATATGATAAAATTATTAAAGATATCGACCTTTTTATCAATATTATTCTCCCTCAACATAAAATGCCAAGGGATTTGCCTAAGATCATAGTCAAATTCCTCTTCCTGCAAACTATTGAAAGATCTTATTTTAATAAATTTTTGAGGTATTTTGGGTTTAATTATTGAAAGATCACAAAAAGTAAGACTATGATCCGATATATGATTAGTGCTTATTACATCACTAGAAGTCACCAGCTCTTTTGATGATACAAAAATGGGGTCCAACAATTTACTGGTAGTTTTAGTAACTCTAGTTGGTTCATCAATAATATGAAAAAGATTAAATGATTCCAAGCAGAAATTCACTGGATTATTCGGATTTAAAAAATCTGTATTGAAATCCCCCAAACATACGACCTCATCAAAATTGGGACACAAAAAAGAAAAAATATTATCACAGTCCTCTAAAAAGTTCCTCATATTTTTATCTTTCGGTCTATATAATGTTCCAACAGCAATATTATGTGAATTTGTATTGATTTTCAAAAATAAAAACTCAAGATTATTATTAACAGTAACTTCAAGTTGAATAGTTTGACAAGCATATTGATTTTTGACGTAAGCACCCACTCCTCCTCCTCTCCCTAATCTATCATGCCTATAAAAATTATACCCAGGTATATTTACAATATTTGAACTAATTTCAACATCCAACCAAGTTTCACTAAGCATGAGCACATCAAAGTTATGTTTCTGCACCAGAACTTTAAAATCGTGAAAACCCGTAAATAATGATCTAATGTTTAAATGTCCAAATTTCATGCTAAAGAAAAGATTATTGCAAGCGAAAAAAGAGAAATAAAAAAATAAATAAAAATACTTTAATTAAAAGATAAGCCCACTATTAATTCAATAATTTATTCATATACCCACACTACAAAAAAAAAACAAATAGAGAAGAGAAGTTGATAAATAGAGCCTTGGCCGGTTACAGCCAGAAAAAAAAAACTTAATTAATAAATATTATAACAATTAGGTATCAGTGACCAAAATAAAATAAAAATAATAATTGCACATTATGCAGATACCACCATTTAATAAAAAAAATGAAACTTAACGTAAGCATGAGCAAAAAAAAAAAAAATTAAAAATAACGCAATGTTAAAAAATCAAAAAATAAAACATAACACCAACCCAGGATGTGTTTCTTGCAAATGGGAGTAGAAAAAATAGGTAATCCATAACTTACATGTTTGATGCAGCAAAACAAAAAATATCATTTACACATTTTGTGAAATTTCACCACTTGTATCAGTATTATTGACACAGACAGGAATTTTTAAGCTATTTAAATCAGTCACTGAGCTTATAAGTTTTTTTTTGTTCTGCACATTCACGTAAATATGACCATTGAAGGTCCAGCATGATTTTCCCATGACTTCACGAACTTTTTGAAAGAGATTTAAATTATCCTGGGTTAACATTTCGGTAATCAGAATTTGGGAACCTTTTAAGTGTTTTTTGTTGAAAAACACCTGATCACGGATCCACTTTGTGCAAAACTGAACAGCAAGCGGCCTTGATTTATTATTACGGCTATCTTTTGCACCTATGCGATAGCAGTAGTTTAAATCCCGTTTGCTGATATCAACAATTTTCAATTTATTCTTAAAAATGTCCACCAAACAGTCGTAGACATTGTTTACATTTTCGTTAATACCGCGCACAATGATAATATTGGACATTTGTCTAGCTTGACTGCGCTTGCTCTCTTTCTCAATTAACTCAACGGATTCTTTTAAGGACTTCATTTCACCCTTTAGGTTAGCAAGGGATGAGTTAATCATAGATTCAAACCTTCATTCAAACACTAACATGGATATCACTCACACTGTATAAAATACTAATAGCGGCATTATTGTGTTTTGCAGCTACTAAAACTCTCAAGAGGAAAAAAGAACATGACAGTAGCAGCGGGAGCGATAGTAACAATGATCAAATTTCATCGCTAAGCCCATCTAAAACTGAATCTGAATCTGAGCAACCGCTAAATTCTTTGAGATCTAAGAAAGTCACTGCTCCTAATTTAGAATCTTTACCGTCAACATCTGGCTCTGTAGTCAATCCCGAAATTGAAGAGAATGATGGTTGCCACGAAAATGACTTGGGTCGTTATGTAGGACAAACATTTCACCTGACGATGGAAAGAAAAAAAGAGTTGTTAAAAAATCCGTGGGTTCCACCCAAGAATTACGATTTTGCAGCCGATGCCAGTCATTTGCGAAGAAAATTTAATTATGCTTGGTTAGATCAATACACACCATGGTTAGTGTATTCCAAGCGACTTAGGGCCGGTATTATAAAAGTTGTGTTCAACCGGAGGTTACTCAACCGCCGGTTGAAACTCAACCGATGGTTGACAGCTGTTCCGTATTATAAACGCATTTGCAACCACACGTTGGCTAACCGGGGCTTGGTGCTCAATAAAATGTGTTGGCTGCACTGACAGTTCAATTTCAACCAATCAAATTCGAATTATTTGACATTTGGCCGGGAAGAAATTTCAAAGTGCGGGCATAGATTTGTTTTGAATTGTTTGAATTCGTTTTTCGCTCGGTTTATACTTTAATTTAAATAAAAAAAAAGATGAGTTCTAAGGTGAAAAGGATCACATTCTCAGAGTCAGATTGTTATGCTCTTGTGGATATCATCATAAATTATAAGGGCATTGTAGAGTGCAAAAAAACTGATAGCGTCACTTGGAAGCAAAAAGTAAGTTGCTTTTTAATTTTATTTTATGTTAAGTAAGTACCTAACTACATACCTAGAAATATAAAATATATGTATGCAATATTTGTTTATGCAGAATCGGGCGGTGAATTCAACTTACCGCCCGCATTTGAGAGCGGTAAGTTGAATTTGCCGCCGCCACTTCTAGGAAATAAATCAACTCAAAATATTTTTTTTATTTACTTATTTACCCAACAACTATGAATAACTATTATTTTTAGATTACTGCATGGGAAAAAATTACAACGGAATATAATTCCCGAACAACTGAACCAAGAACTTCAGGGCAGTTACGCTGCAAGTATGATAATTTGAAGAAGGATGTACGTAAATACGAAGCTGAAAAGAGGCAGAATATGTACAAAACAGGTGGAGGTATCGATGAAACTAATATCAAAGCATCGCTGAAACTGCTCTATGATAAAATAAGCAGCCTAATTCGCATTTCCGTTTTGGGTTTAGAACCTAGTGAAGGTGATAGTGATGTGTTCACGGTGAAGAGTCAAAAAGGTATGGTACCTAGAAAATAAAGCATGATATCTACTATTTTCTTATCTTAATTTTTTTTCGTACTTGCATTATTCTAATTCCGGTAGGTTTATCACAAGATATCCCGTATTTCCATAACAATAATATAATCATTGAATATATTGATGAAGAGACACCAACTACCAGCACACCGGAGCTGCTACAGGAAGTGCAAAAAGAACAAAAAGGTCAGGTTTGTTTTTTTAATTTAAGATGATCATGCTACTCAAAAATCCTATTTAATTTCATTATTATTATCAAGAACTATTAGGTCTATTCCAACCAGCAATCACAAACCAGTCAGAGCGAATTTCATTGGTTGAAACTAGTTTTCTGACTGTTTTCAACCAATGAAATTCGCTGTGACTGGTTTGTGATTGCAGTTGGAACAGACTAGTATTACTTACCATTGTGAGGTAGCGTTGGACCCACGTTATCAAGGACCGTAAAATACACACAGGATAGTTACCTTTCCATAAGCGTAACGTTCTCCAATTCTAGCCGACCAAAATTGTCAATGACCCGGGTGCGTGACGTCATTGGCTATACAAATAACTCATGAAACTTGTTCCAGTCTTTGGTTTCGAGCGGACCAATGACGTCACTGGACTATCTGAATTGGCGAAAAAAAACCGCTGGAGTAACCATCCTGTGTGAATTGTACGATCCTTGCGACGTTATACAATCTCTATATTAATTAACTTGTAGATTTTCCAAAACAACCGGATGCAGGTATCACAGATGCAGCCAAGAGTACTTCAGAATTAAAGACTATTGACAAAGCTGAGGATACACCATAGCTGCTTAGTGCTTTAGAAGAAAAAAATGGTATTCAAACAAACTTTTCTATTTTTTGTCAATTAATTTTCTGTTTTCAGATTGGTCGGACTATACCCCAAAAAAACTTCAATCCAAAAAGCACCGAGTGCTACAGGTGAAGAGAAAGAGGGACCCTGAACAAATTGATCCGAACCAAAATGACACAGAAAAAAAAACAGAGCTGGTAACTTTAAAAAAGAAATTATTGGAAGAGGAAAGTGCAAGAAATATTACCTATCACCAAGAAAAATCTCAGCGAGAAGAAGAATTGCATTTATTGAAAGTAAAAAACTTGAAACTACAAAATCAGAAGTTATAAATGGAAATTTTATTGCTAAAAAAACAATTGAATACCTAATTAAATGCCTAATATAAATAATATCATTATATAAATTATTGTCTAATACTTATTACATATTTTCTTCTAACAAATTCATAAAATATAACAAAAATTCTTGTCTAAAATTATTATTTTCTCCATGACCATCAGCTCCTGCAACGTTTTCATCATTTAGGTCGTGATCTACATTTACAAAAGGATCAATGATGGGATCCGGTTCATTTAAACCTAATGCCATGTTATGAAGAACTGCGCAAGCTATGATCACTTGTTTCGCATTATCAAGAGAAAGCCTTATTCCTAAAGACAATATGGGAAATCGTCTTTTTAAAACACCAAAAAGTCTTTCAATTGGATTCCGAGTTCTAATTTGGGACTCATTAAAAACTTGCTCAACATTGATTGTAGGATTCAGCATTGGTGTAATTAAATATTTTTTTAAAGCGTATCCCGAATCACCAAGCATTATTGAATTGCCAAATTCGTTGTTTTCGAAGCGAGCCTTTATGGGGCTATTATTGAATATTGTCTGATCATGTGTCGATCCCGGCCATCGAGCAACTATATCTTTGATAAAAAGTTTTGAATCACCTACCACTTGTACATTTAAAGAAAAATACCCTTTTCTGTTTCTAAAATTCTCAGCATGGGCTCCACCTACAAAAAGTAAAATGTTTGTTTGCTTAAATAGTGAATAACAAAAAAAAAAACAATTAAGTACCTGGCGAAATTATCCTCACATGAGTACAATCGATGGCCCCTATAACTCGAGGAAATTTTGCAATTAAGTAAAAGTTTCTTTTACTTGTTTCAATATCTTCGTGTGTCCGTGGCATATGTATATATTCTGGTGCTAATGAGGCAATTTTGTTGGAAATTTTTTTCACAATTTGGCTGGCTGTAGATTTGTGAATACCAGAAAAATCTCCGATGGTTTGCAACATACAACCTGTAGCACAGAAACGAAGGAAAAGAAGGACCTGTTGCATTGACGTTACAGAGTGATTTCTAGAAAAAAACCGAGAGAAAAACTTATTAAAATATATACAGGGTGATCTGAGTAGGCATACGTAAATCTAAGACAGGTGGGACTGTCTGCTATACGGTCCACACAGATAATATATTGACCTGGGCCCTAAGAATTTTTTTTTAAATTTTTTTACTATTTTTACAAACATTTTCCATCTGCAGATTTCAAAATGAAATAACTTTTTGAAAAATATGGAACTGACAATATTTTTATTTTATTTCAATCTAGACGAATTTTAGAATCAAAGAAATTTAATAATTAGGGCCCATTAGAGCTACAAAGAAAAATAGGGGCCCTCAAACCACAAAAAAAAGGTGAAAAATAATCCTGAAGAGCCAACTATGCATTGCATAAAAAAAAGAGAAATGATCGAGTATTTCTAATCAGTCAAAAGCATCTTAAATTCATACCCTTTCGAACGATAAGCAATAACCACAATTTGCTTCGAAACAGCAAGTTATTTGTCCACTTTATTAAGGTGGGCATTTTTACGAAATTCTACTTTTGAGGTAAGTGCATTTTTGTCATTTTTCAAAAAGTTATTTCAGTTTGAAATCTAGATATTGAAAATTTTGGTTTTTTTTTTTTGAAATATCCTAAAAAAAAGGGCCCTGGTCAAAATATCTGGAAGGACCGCATAGCAGACGGCCCCACCTATCTCAGATTAACGTATATCAACTCATGTGCCAAGCACTGTATGTTAACATCTGAATATAATAACAACCTACTTTGAACTTATTGGAGCGATATCATCATGCAACCTTTGCTCCAGGACAATAACTGCTTCTTTGCTAAGGCGAAATCGCATCCGGAATTCCTCATCACTGCAACGAGTGAAATGATCGGGTCGTAGCCGGAAGTTTCGAGGGGCTCTTCTCCTGACCCTTTGATTTTCATTATCGGAAGAATCATCATCACTACTATCTTCCCAAAGTAGCCGATTCCGTAAAACTTCGGGAGAAGATGATGACGACATTGTTTGATAGTATAAATAATTTAAATTTTATTTTAATTGACAAGTTTTTCACGAACTCTCAAAACATTAGCCAAACAACAAACAGTCAAACAATTTTAAAATTTCAAAACAAATTTGTGAGGTTAGAACGCGTATTTCAACTGTCGGTTGACGGTTCAAACTGAACTTTGCTTTCGGTTGGGCCAACCGACAGTCAACCCGTCCGTTCAACTCCCGGTTATCGTTTATAATACAGAAATATCAGTTCAACCGCTGGTTGAAACTCAACCTCCGGTCAACCGGGCTTTATAATACCGGCCCTAAAGGGTGCTCTGTGTAAGCACTGTGTTTTATTTCCTCCTTCTACTGGCACAGTAACGGGAGTATTAGGTTCATTTATGATCAGACCATTTACGAAGTTTAGGAATATGCACGAAGATTGTCGTAAACATGCCACCAATAACTTTCACAAATCTGCATCTGCTGCTGCAAAGGCCTTTCTCCAAAATATACCTGTGGACATTCAAGTTCAAAGTTTCCACCAAAAAACAATCGAAGAGAACAAGCAAATATTGGCCTCTATTATTTCCTGTGTAGTATTCTGTGGCACACACGATATGCCTCTACGAGGAAAAGAAGCAGATGAGGGAGTTTTTTTCGATCTAATGAATTTGCGAGTTGAGTCGGGCGACATCAAATTAAAGAATCACCTGGAAAAGTGTCGTAGAAATGCTGTTTATACGTCACCAAAAATACAAAACCAACTCATATATTTATGTGGCGAAGTTATTAGGGAGAGTGTGATAAATGATGCAAAGAAAGCCATGTTCTACACAGTTTTAGCCGACGAGACAGCCGACGTTTCAGGAAAGGAGCAGCTATCCATTGGCTTGCGTTTCTATGATGAAAGTAAAAAAAAAGTCCGATAAGAATTTGTGGGTTTTGTGGAGCTGACAGCACAGGATGCCCCAGCAATTGCCAATGCAATAGACAATTTTTTAGTTAGCTATAATTTTTCACCGCATAGTTGTGTAGGACTTGGTTTTGATGGCTGCGCTACGATGGCGGGCAAAGAGGGTGGCGTACAAGCGATTTTAAGGAAAAAGTACACACGAGCATTATTTTTTCATTGCTCAAACCATAAAATAAATCTTGTTGTCAATGATGCAAATAATGTTCCGGAAATTAGAAACACTATTGGCACCGTAAAGGATGTTATAACCTTTTTCAGGGAATCCACCACTCGCAGAAGTTCCGCTCCTAATCTATCACGACTGTGTGAGACTAGATGGTCTGAAAAATACAAAAGTATTCGCTTATTTGCACAAAATTTCCTCGAAATTGTGAAATCACTTGAAAAAATATCTATCGAAGGAAACTACGCCACGAGAAAATCTGCGTACCAGTTGCATGCCGCCGTTACCTAACCCTCACTAATTGTTGCCCTAACTATAATTGCAAAATATTCAGCTTTACTAGAGCCGGTTGTTAATGCCTTGCAAGCAAAAACTATGGATTTAATTAAGTTGCAAGAACATCTGAACGTAATCCTTAACGTTCTGAAGAAAAACCGTGAAGATGCCGACCTAGTTAATGATGAAGTACTTAAAAAAGCACAAGACTTTGCATTGGAATTGGAAATAGAAATTTCTATCCCTCGAATTACCAAGAGGCAAATACATAGAAACAATCCTCCATCAGACTGTGATAGTGACTACTGGAAGCGTTCGTTAATTATACCGTATCTGGATTCAATTATAGCCTCTTTAAATATTCGCTTTTCTCAAGAACATACTCCAGCGTTTGCCTTAACAAAAATACATCCATTATATATGCTCGACATGGAAACCAATCAAGTAGAACAAAATGCACAATATTTTACCCAGTTTTATAAATTGGATGATATTACTGCGGAAATGGACCTATGGTATAATTTGTGGAAGGAAAAAAAGTCAACTGAGGACCAGCTAAAAGACGTCGAAATAACTGACCTTCTCGACGAGACCGATGTTTTTTATCCCATCCTAAAACAGGCACTTTTGATTTTAATCACAATTCCATGCACCACGGCCACTGTAGAACGATCCTTCAGTACTCTTCGAAGAGTGAAGACTTGGTTGAGAAGTACCATGGGAGAGGAAAGGTTAACAGGATTATGTCTCATGAGTGTGCATCGTGATTTAATTAAATCAAATCGAGAGCAATTTGAAAATCAAGTTTTAAATAAATTTGCGACAAATCCAAGAAAATTGTTATTGAAGTAAAAATTAAGCGAGTTATGTCAAAATTTAGTAATTAAAAAGAGAAATGCAAAATCCATTGTTTTTTTTTTTTTGGTCAGCCCCCCCTATTTCAGATCCTGGGTACGCCCTTGCCTGAGCTATAGATTATTTTAAAAGAGAGGAAAAAATTATTTAAAAAAATAAAATAAAAAATCCAGGTCCGTATTTGAAAAAATGAAATTAATACTGATATCTCAAAAACTGAAAGCGGTGTGAAGATAACAATTACGATATTTTGTAGAGAAGAATAATTCTTGAAACTTTTGTATTGAACACTTTTTTCTAAAGATAATAATTTTTGAAATATCAATTAAATAAGTTTGAGACATTTTTCTAATTCAACCGACCTCGTAGCTCTTACCGATTCGGAGATAGCAATAGTGGTATCGCAAATTGGACACCCTGTCCTAAAATAATTTCATCAGCTATTTTAATTTTAACCGAAAAATCCATTTTACAAACAACAGTTTTTGTTATATTGTGCATTATTTATTAAAAATTGCGTTATTGCAATACCGATAGCAAAATAATAATTAAACAAAAAAATTTTAGTATTTAAATGAAGAACCTATGTAACATGAATGATTTTTTTCGATGATTCTTCAAATATTTTTCAAATAAACAATCCAATTAATAACAAAATAGTTGCTGTTAGCACAATTCGCAATAATTCCAAATACTTTGGATTATTAAAATTATTATACTTTTTTTCTGCTCATGTTGTTTTTGGCAAACCTTTAAAATTCTACTTAATTAAATAATTTTAATTCAATTCATTATTTTAATAAAACATAATATGAGTATGAACATCCAAAAAAACACGAATTCAATTGAAACAAAATAATACATTCTATTAGTTATTTTAGTACTAATTACCAATTACCTACACTTCCATCCCAAAAACAAAATGCGTGAATTAATTTTACATAGTTTATTATGGTAATTTCAATACCCCTGTGCG